ATAACGAAATTTACATTAAGAGATATATTGTTCAATAGAATAATTCTGCTGAAATAAAAAATGAAAATACCGTTGATCTTATATTCTTTGCGAATGTCAGTCGCACAATTGCGAAGTGAGATATAGATGCTATTAAGATACTTCGTTGGCGACGATGCGTGATCTAGTCGCAATGAATCAGCTAACATTTAGATTTAGAAGGTTTCGTCGCGTGGTCGGTGATCTTATAAGCACTAGCTGGAAGGTTATCTCATTATATCTTATCCGTTGTTTTCAACGGACAAGCTTAGCAACATCAAAAGAGCTTAAATTGCACGCAAGCTTACGAACAATAGCATGTTCCGCATGCGCGAAATATACAACGCTTGCGAAAGTTGGAGGCTATCGGTATCTAGTATTTTCCATCGATTGATCATAAATACATGACGAACAAGAAGAACTAATCGATAAGATTAATCAATTAAACGTAATGTTACATGGGACAGACGCGATAGTAAAATCTCACTCGAACATTAATCCGAGAACTTGGATGACTGGAATGAACCGAACAGCTCGTTAGTAAGAGGAAAATAATAAAAAGATGTGGAAGAACAGGAGGGGAAATATGAGAAGGGAAAGAGAGGGGAAGGGAGAAAGAGAACGGGTGTCGCAGATAAAGACTTCGAAAGAGCCGGTCGCTTATCTGTAAAGACCGACATCCGCCGGATCAGCCCCAGATACCGAAACCACCCACACTTTCCTTCTGGTGCACACGCTTAGGCTAAGTTCCGAGGACGGAAACAGCCGACTTCCAGGGATTGCGAATTCCGCCGCATGCCGCACAGCTGGGCTTAGATATCCCGGTGGCACAATTCATTTCTTTGGACATGCAAACTGCAAATTGGGTTTTTCGACCGTGGGCACTTGATCGGCCGCAATGAACAGGCGCAGGTCAGCCCAGAAGAATAGTATTATTCGGACGATTTAAACGTGGCTTCGTAACCTGATTCGATTTCGAGAGATTAAGTCGAGTCGTCTTGGATTACCGAGTCATCAAGTCGCAGAAGAAACCTTAAGACTAACGGTCCCTGCGATGCACTGAGTTTGCGCTCATTCAGTCGTGGTACATATTTCAGATGGAGATGTTAGACAAGCGATAATTTTCTTATATCCTTTAACGACTTATATCTTTTATTTCGACGAGCACGAGTGCAACTCTGTTTATTAAAGTAGGTGATGTATGTATATAGACTGTAACACTTAGAAATAGTTAAAAATTTTTATGAAAAATATTTAATTTACTCATTTCACAACTCACAAGAGTATTAAAGTCAAGCATTTGAACGGTTTATTGACTCTTCTTTCTCCTGATTTAAACACTTAAATTTAATTTGAGTGTTAAATATCTAAATAAAAAATTTTAATTCGCCTCCCCCGTTTTAAGTCTCCAAGAAATTAAATTTATTTTGTTCTCCCTCTCCTTCGTCGCTCTGCTTAATCGTATACGAGCACACCGATGTAGCTGCGGAAACGTCACTGTCGATGAATCTAAACGGCGTGTACTTTTCCCGTCAATGATTTAGAAAGATCCTCGGTAATCTCGGAACGCACTGGTAATCATCTCGCGCGCAGAAAACGAGGGTCGTGAAGAGACGCGGAAAGAAATATTCGGCGATGATTCTTTGGCCGCACCCCCTTCAAATCGCGTTTTCCGTGCCGAACGCGGCCATTATCGCGGCGGTGCGAAGTGTGCGATAGCAGGGTGCCGAAAAATATGTTCCAACTTTTTATCTTGCATCTGCACCACCGCCTCGGTGCAGAACTGAGCGTTCTGTTAATTTGCAAAGTTGTGACTCCCATAATCACTCTATGAGTCCGATGCGTTTGGTCACAAAAGCGGATTTTAAAGCGGAAAGAAAAAGACAAAATGTTAAGAAGCTTTATTCTTTAATTTTGTAAACTATTTTTTTTCAGTATATAATATTTCTTAAATATATTTGTTAATATCTTTGATGGAGAATTTGAATAATTGTTACATATCTATTTATAATTTCTTTTACTGTCTAACTTAATTTTTTTAATTTGTTGTATGCTTAACTTTAATGAAATTTATCATTTTATAATTAGACATTTCCAAATATTATTAATAATTTGTAATTTTGAATACATACTATCATAAAAGAGAATAGCGTATATCAAGTTAGTGATAAATAGATGTTACTGTGGCAAGACTTAACAATACGAGAAATCGCTAAGACGAAACCGTCGTGATGAAAAAGAGCCATCGAGAGAAACTGGTTTCGCTTCTTCAAGGGTTGCTCTTCGGATGAATCTTATCTTTCGACGAGAGCTGTCAAAGACGAAACGGCATGACGCTTCCGTCGTGCGGGAAGATAACCGGAAGCCCGATAGGTTCTGTACCAGAAATGAGAAATGTCTTTGCGGTTGCAGAGATTAAAGATTTCGCGGATGAGTAGTTGCCACCTTTTACATTTCTTTTTTCGCATTCCTTACGATAAATTTTTAACGTGTTTTGTTGTGTAAAAATTAAAACAATTAAGAAATGCGCTTTGAATTTTATTTGATTATTATTAATATATTATGTAGAAGTTATATATTTTTATAATCGGTCTCTCGATTTTATTCCTAAATAAAAACGGAAGCTCAATTAATTCTCCCGCATGGTGAGTACGTACTTCAGTTTATGAAAGAACAATCTTAAATTGTATAATAAATCTGAAACTTGATACTTTTGTGATCAAACAACGAGTGTATCGCAGAGTCGTGTCAAGACAACGCGTCGGTAATAAACAGAGCGAGTAATACGATGTCTCTGCGATTAAATCCTGCGGCGTAAAAGCCCACCTTAAACCAGCTGATCCCGGTACAAAGACGACGCAAGGACGGGGGGCGCCTTAATGAAAACTATACGTCCCTAGATTAAGGTGGACGTTGGTCAGCCTTCGGACCCGCCAGATACGACCTGTCTTATGCAACGTAGGGAATGGGTTCTATGATGTCCGGCGTATTAGATGGAAGTTTCGGCCATTAATACCTAATATCATGCCGCCGGCAGTAAATCCTTTGTTGGTCATCTTTGACGGGGACTTAACGCCTTGCATCAAGAGACATTCGACCTATCTATCAATTCGGATACAATCCATATTGCACTTTGATTAGCTTATCATTACATGTTTGTAAGAAGTATAATTTCAATATCAATTTATTCTTATAAATAAATTTGAAGGAAATATTTAATCTATTATTCTATTATAGAAATATTATACTATTATAATCGCTTCTATGAATTTCAAGTTGAACTTTTTCCAAATAAAAATGAAATTATTGCTTTTTACCGCAATAAAACTTGAAACTTTAGCACTTTCAATACTTTATCATAATTAAATGTTAAACTAAATTATCATCACTTTGTTGTATAGCTGATTTTGCACTCGTCACAGATAATCATGCGGCAAAAATATTGTACTGAATAATGTTCAAACGTAAATTTTTATTTGTTTGGTTAATGTGATTACTCATGGCTTTTAATTGTTATTTTGACTCCTTTTATATTCAAAAACTTGGTCTTACAACCAATGTGAGAAATACACCCATTACATTGTAATTTGGAGCTTGAGAAAATAATCACATTTATTATGTATAATTAATGAAATTTGCTCCTTGGTAATGGCTCAGAATGAAGTCGAAACGTTTAGATGACGTTCTAGAATGACTTAAAGAAAAACACAATAAATAATTAATTTGCGCGCCAATTACTGCGCTTGACTTTCATTGCCGTTTATTGTTTCTTAGTTCTAATTTTAAACTAAATTTCTGTTAAAGTTACAAAATATACACTGTTAAAGTATCTGTAGTAGTTAAATTTGTATTTCTTTAGCCATTGGGTCGTCATTTTTTCACCATCTTTATTATAGATGCACATTTTGTGCAGACACACTTGACGTCGACTGGTCTATTGATAATAAAATATACTTCTGCATTCCGAACAATGCGGGATATATACGAGTATATCAGTAAACAGCAAGTTCAATAATCTCGTCGAGAATTTGGTGATTCCCTTTAACGGATAAATACAGGCACCATACAACCAGTGGAATTGTACGGGCGGAACTTTCCCCTCTTTCTTCCCTCCTCTACAGTCTTTCTTTTACCATCCCTCTCCCTTCCTTCTCGCACTCCATTTCCTCGGTTTCGCAGAAGTCTGGGATTATGACATGGAGTGGGATAGACTCTCGGACTTAAGTCAGGGTTACACAAGGATCGCAGCTATTGTGCCATCGCACAGGTCCCATTGTCTCGGGATAGACGAGTGGATCTGCATATGCTTAGCGCCGGAGTTAAACTTCTCTCTCTCTCCTCCTCCTTTTGCGCTTTGCGTAACTCTCTCTTTCTCTCTCAGTCTTCTCTCGGCGATCTTCAATGCGCGCACCGCGAATCATCTACCTACCCCTCGAATTTGGATGTCGAAACGCCGAAGACTATACCTATTGTCAGCCGGATGTACAGAAGCTAATGCTTCAACTGAAGCTACGAGATGATTTGAAGACTTACGAAGCCTTCGTGGAAATATCTCTCTCACTCTCTTTAGTTTTCAAATTAAATTAATCAGATTTACTACAACAAATTTTCGAGAAATCGTCAAATAATTGATACGTGATGATTTAAAGATAAAACAGTCACAAAAAAAGTAGGGATTTTCGTGAAAGAAACTTGTAAAAAAATAAAGCAATTACGTGGTAGGAATTAAAGATTTTCTTAATTAAAAACCGATGTGTAATTGTATGAAAAATTACATATCTTGTACTTAGTTGAAATTCCAAAGACGACTATGGAATTTGCTTACGAATTTTTAATGAAAGTTTTTATCCGTTACACACAATGAAATGAAGCAATTGTTAGCTAATTTGTTACCCATAGTAAATTCGTTACTCTTTTGTTACCCATAATGAGAACGGATTGTCGAGTACGTTACTTCATGCAAACGCTTTTGTCTGTTGCAGCGAAAAATCTACCGGTGCATTGTGTGGTGGAGACGATTCACAATATTGTGGAAAGCCATGTGAGCAACAGCCGTGAAAAATGGCGAAGTCCCCAAGTGGAGACGGACTCTTACGTTATTATTCCGGTAGCTATGCCCTTTCAGGTAAGAATAATTTTCTTTTATTATATATATTTTTACCATCTATTGATATGTCATAAATAGTTGCAGTTAAAAAAATCGAAAAACTTATTTAGAGTACAATTTGCTATGTTGAAAAATTAAGTTTTCGTGATGGCGATGAGAAATTTACTATTTCAATAAAATAACAAACGTCAAAATAAATTTAAAAGAAAAAAAAGATTAAAGCCTTCTCTAAGAACGGGATGCACTATTTTCATACAAATAAAAAAGTTTTAAGAAAGTAGAGAATTTCTTTGATTAAAATTATTATAAGTATCTGGATATGAAAAATATATCTTGATAGCAGCTTTGTTTTTTGCTAACAGGATTTGGTGGGCGAGGCACTCGTTCGTCTGGGATACTCCAGCGATCTGATACCAAGTGCTAGAGGGAGCATCGTTATACGTAACTGGAAGCCTTTGCCGATGGAGAAAGTTGCCGATGGACCACTACTGACAGTAGGAGATATTTTGGCCGAATTGACGTCGGTGGCGACTCTGAAGATTCAGGTGTACAGATCCAGGCCACCACCTCCCAGTCCGGCAGCTGAAGTTAGAAATAAATTGCTGAGGTTGCTCTTGTTGCACAGCCACACGCTTCTCGTCTCCGCCGGGTGCCCTTTAGACGAGGTAAGGTATCTCGAGAGCTTTTAGGTGTCAAAATTTACATTTTGCAATTAATATTTGAAAAAAGGAATGCACATAGTGTTGTATTATATTTAATTTAATAAACACTTTTTTATTAATATAACGTGTGTGTATGTACGCTCGTGCACGCGTGTATGTCAAACGTTTATAATGGATCTAATAGCGAGACAAATTTATATTCAAACAAAACCTATAAATTTATTCTGAATATTACACACGGAGCGAACAATTTCGCTGAAAGATTTAACATTTTCTGGATATATATATAT